TTCCTCTCCATCCTCCTCAACTCCTCCTCCTCCTTAGCTCTTCCTCTTCCTCTGTGTCTTCTCCTCCCTTACCTCTCCTCACCCTCCTCTTTTCCTTTTTTCTCCCTAGGTGCTCCTAACTGCAGTTACTGCTGCTTCAGCCTCTGCCAAGGCCATTGCCAAACGTGCTCAGGAGGGCAGGGACTTGGGAGGCCTGAGCTAACCTGGACAAGAGGCTTCTCCCTGCTGGGTCTCACGTGAGAATCAGCAGATGGAAGTCGGCAGCAGGTCTTAGCCTGGCTGGGCTTCCCCAGACTCTTCCCTGGGAGGTGTGGCTCAGGCAGGCTGCGGGTGGGACCCGGGGCTCTGCTGTAGAGTTCCTCAGTTGCTGCTGCTGCTGCTGCTGAGTGAGAACTGGGCCCCACAGACTGGATGCTTTCCAAGACAAGCCCCCTTCACAGGCAAATGCTTCCCCGCCAGGGGACCAGGGCTTGGAGCACTGCAGTCCCCCAGCCAAAGGTGTTTCTGCAGTGGAAGTGTGTGCCTCAAGCTGCCAGCCTGAGCAACGAGAAAGACCTTCCCCCGGCTCCCTGAACACTGGTTTCATGACGGGAGTCCGGCTTCCCGTGCAGGGTCATCCCTGTGGGTAGAAGGCACTGGTCAGAGTGGCAGCAGCGCTCCGGCCAGCAGGATGCTGAGTTCCCATCACAGTGGCACATGCTGGCCTGTTTATACACCCAGCTCTGTGGGCTTGGCCTTTTCTCTTTCAATGATGTTTATCTGGGTTCTGTAATGTTCTTCTCCTGCCTCCCTCTCCCACCATTGGACAGGGACCCTGTTCCTGTGTCTGGTCTTGTTGCCTAATTGCCACATCACTGTCACCTTTCCAGATGCTCACAAGCCCACTCAACGCCACTGCTTGGACGTCCTGCCTGCACCTGCGGCTCACACTCTGTGCGTCCGGGACGCTGCGGCTCACACTCTGTGTCCGACGCCCTGCCTGCACCTGCTCACTCTGTGCGTCCGGGACGCCCTGCCTGCACCTGCACTCACACTCTGTGCGCCCTCGACGCCCTGCCTGCACCTGCACTACACTTGTAGCGTCCGGGACGCCCTGCCTGCACCTGCCCTCCTCACACTCTGTGTCCGGACGCCCTGCCTGTACCTACACCTCACACTTGTGTGTCCGGGACGTCCTGCCTGCACCTACACCTCACACTCTGTGTGTCCGGGACGTCCTGCCTGCACCTACACTTCACACTCTGTGTGTCCAGGATGTCCTGCCTGCACCTCACGCTCTGTGTGTCCGGGACGTCCTGCCTGCACCTCACACTGTGTGTGTCCGGGATGTCCTGCCTGCACCTGCACCTCACACTCTGTGTGTCCGGGACATCCTGCCTGCACCTGCACCTCACACTCTGTGTGTCCGGGACGTCCTGCCTGCACCTGCACCTCACACTCTGTGTGTCCGGGACGTCCTGCCTGCACCTGCACCTCACACTCTGTGTGTCCGGGACATCCTGCCTGCACCTGCACCTCACACTCTGTGTGTCCGGGACGTCCTGCCTGCACCTCACACTCTGTGCATCTGGGACTAGCCTCTGCTCTCTCCCTCCCCACCCTGGGTCAGCTCCCTCCACTGTATGCTCTGTCCCAGAGCTGGCCTCACCACCCTGTTCCCAAGGCAGGAATTCAGGACTTGGCTTTAACTGTCCCCCCGGCCCCTCGCCCCAGCAGCCTTGCTGATGCCCTCCTAATATTTCCTCTAGCAGCCCTGGCCTCCCTGACCCTCACCTCTGCCTTCTCCTGACTTCCAAGAGGTGTCACCTGGGGGGTCTACCAGAAGCTGTTCTTGGTGTGGCAAGGCAGTTCTTTTCCTAAAATGTAAATATGACCATGTTACCCTCCTCCCTAACAGCTTTCAATCCCATCGTCAAAGGGATCAAGTGCCGACCCCTTGATGGGCCCCACTGGCCTCCTGGTGCCCCCTCTCACCACTCCTGGGCTGGCACTTCATGCTCTGCCAGCACCCTCATGTGGTCTGCTGCGTCCTGTCTCCACACATCAGCCTAAGCCTGGCCTCTGTGTGTCCACTGGGCCCCCTCACCGAGGCTCGCTCTGTCTTATCCTCAGGGACTCAGCTCAGTGGCCTCCCCTTGGAGAAGCCTCCCCCGACAGCTCCCTTCTCTGGCCTCCCTTCATCTGGGTTGGATGCATTTCCCCCAGTTCCCCAGCACACCCCACGGGGATCCCTGGAGCCTGTATGAGCTACTGGACTCAAAGTCCTATTTGCTTATCCCCATACTTTACACTATGAATTCCTTGAAGGACAAACCATGCCTTATTTCCAGGATAAAGTCTGGTACATAGTAGGTGTTCAGTAAAAGTTGGGAGTGTGAACTAGGCACTAACAGGCTGGGATGAGGCAGTCTGGACTTAACACCCTTGCTAGCTTTATCAGCACCCCAGACATGCTTCCATCAACATCCTTGTTAGCTTTACCAGCGCCCCAGACATGCTTCCATCTCTTTTCCTGATGCAATTCCAGGGCAAAGGAGCTTTTGAGTCCTTTCTAATCAAGCTGTCAATAGGGGAATCCTGACACCAGGCATTGATTTTTCACCAAAGGGGAGGAGGCTTCCCCTCTGTGTTCTGCACTCCAGCAGTCAATTCAGATTTTTAGGCTGCAGTCTCTCCTATTATCATGGGTACGGCCTGCTTCAGCTGCCCTGGGGCCTAATTTCCTCACATCAGTGTCAGTGCCCCCATTCCTGGGATGCTCAGATTTCAAGAGGAGTCACAGCTAAGGCCTCCATGAGTGGACCCATTTCCCTCACCCATTTCTTCCAGCTCTCCTATCACTGCCAATCACTGTGAGGCACCAGACCCCTCTGAGAACACCCACTAGCCTCAAGATTTCCCCAACAGCCCAGGCTGGAACCAGACCCTTAACACTGCAGGAGAAGCCAGCTCTCAATCCAGCCCCGCAGAAGACCCCAGGTGTGACGTATTCAGCTCAGAGCCTCACCTGCTGCAGGAATAGTCACAAACCTGCTGCTTAAAACCATTTCATGTATGCTTTCCTTTACCTTCTAGGGGGTGAGCAAGGAGTGGACGCCATGTCTAGGGAGCAATGGCTGGAGGCTGTAGCTGGAGCCTCCTGCAACAGACAGGCTGCCTTTCCCTGGGCCGAGGGGCCTGTGGCTGCCAGGCTTGTATCTGGCTGCCTTGGAGGAGGGACCAGGGTGCTCCAAGCCTTGGTCTCCTAGAGGGGAAGGACCAGCATTTGCCTGTAAAGGGGGCTGTCTGGCAAAGCATCCTCATTTCCATTCACACAGTTCACGGCCTCTGATGTTCTCAGCAGAGAGGAGTGGTGGCTGCAGAGCTTTTCTCTGGCCTCCTTCCAAATACTTTGGGATTCAGTCACCCTTTCTTCTCCTAGAGGACACAGGTAGCCTGATCAAGCTATGGGTTCAGGAAGGATGTTAAGATTTCAACTCCTGCCTTAATGGATGCCTTCTGTATCAGCCAGGGTTCTCCAGAGAAACAGAACTAATAGGACAGAAATTATATATATAATGTAGGATTTATTATAAGGAATCAGTTCCTGTAATCATGGAGGCCGAGAAGTCCTGAGAGCTGCAGTTAGCAAGCTGGAGACCCAGGAGCGGGAACTGGTATAGTTCCAGTCCAAAAGCCTGCAGGCTAGAGACCCAAGAAGGGCGGATGTTTCAGTTCCAGTCCGAAGGCAGCAAAAGACCAATGGCCCGACTCAAAGGCGGTCAGGAGAAACCCCTCTTACTTACAGCAGGGTCAGCTTTTGTTCTATTCAGGCCGACTGACTGATTGGATGAAGCCCTCCCACATTGGGGACGGCGAGCCGCTTTACTCAGTCTACTGATTCGAATCTTAATCTCATCCAGAAACCCCCTCACGGACACACCCAGAATCATCTTTGGCCCAAATATCTGGGCACCTTGTGGACTGGTCAAGTTGACGTGTAAAATTCACTGTCCCACCATCTACTACAAAGACATCGGCTCTGGCTACAATTTTTCTTTGAATCTGTCCTTTGGGTAGGGAGCGTCCAGGCAGGGGGAAAAAAAAAGCCCAAACAGTAAGAATACTAAGCAGGGCTGGAGAATTCCTTCCATGATGACGGAACTTTTCCTCTGGCACTCCCTTCCCAATAAATAAATCCTGCCCACTCCCAGGAGATGCAGTGTCTGCCTCTTCTCCGCCCCCCAGCAAATAAAAGAAATAACACGCTTCCCAGTCGCAGCTGCTCCACACCTCAGCATATGCTCTGCCTCGCTTGCTTCCTCACTGTTAAAATGACAACGGGCGCTGTCTTCGGTGCTTCCAACACCCTCGGGTCCTTCTCGCGGCCCGGCCTTCCTACGCTGCTACGTTGTGCATTACCCACAACAGCAAAAATGTTCCACTGGTGGTTTCAAGATTCCTAAAAAAATAGATTCAAAACATCTTTAATACTCTCTGAAGAAGCAATACATCACAGGAAAAGCTGTAACCTTTCCTATTGCTGATACTATCCAGACTGCGGGCTGATGAGGACGGTAACTGCAGCCAATTCGTATTCTGCGTGGCTGCCGCTGGAGGTGCACAGGAGCTGGTCCACCCACCCTCCACACTCCCAACCAGGGAAGCTGCTGAATTTCTGAGTGTTTGCCTAATGCCCTTTTATATAACCTGAAAAGAGTCACAGTACTTGAAGGCAGTATTTTCCAAGAAGCAGCCTTCCCCTATTAACGCAACATCCCTGAAAATAATACTGCTGTTTCTACAGCAGTGACAGGCCCTGCATGGAACGCATTTTTCCTTCCTTTTTTCCCCACCACAGAGCCACAGGCAAGAAGCTGTGGCAGCGGAGCCTCGTCAAAGCCAGCTGGACAGAGGAATGGCTACTTGCATTGTTAAGTAGGAGCGCTTCACAGTGACCATGGGCCAGCCAGGAACTGCCTTCCCCCAGGACGGGGGGACAGGTGTGGGGGTGTGAGGCACAGGGAGGCTTCTCTGCCTGGTGATCCCAAGAGGACCTGCAACAGGTGCCCTGACTGGCTGAAGGAGGAGGCTGCCAGGAAATCAGAGACTTGAATTTGCCAGGTTGTTTGAAGGTTAATGTTATGGGTAATCAAAGGGAGGAGACAAAAGACAGAAAAATGGAAACCCTTCAGAACAGTGAAAGGTTTCATTTACCTTTGGTAAATAAAAGTGTGTTCATATTTTCACAAAGATTTTTCTATTTCACCAGCTTACAACTCAAACCGGGATGGGCAAACACGTTGCGATACGGTGGTCACGGCTGTAATCCAGAGAGAATGCTCAGAAATGGGAAACAGAAACGCAAGGCAGGATGCCCCTTCGTGCTGGAAGTCAGACACCCCGTGTGTTCTTCTTGCCGCCCGCTGAGGTCTGAGACGGGCCCTGCTGTGAATGACCCTGGGAACGGTGCCAGAGTTACCCAGACTTGGTGCGGACAAAAGAGCTCCCTTTCAGGGGCCCTGTGTCTTTGGACAGGTCACTAGACTTCTCTGAACCCGTTTGCTCATTTCCAGGAAGGGGTAAGATCTCTCTGACAGTTCAGGGGGTGGGCAAGAATGATGGGTGCCAAGCCCACCACCCCAGGCCCTGGAAAGGAATCAGCCTCTCCAAAAATGATGGTTTTTATTATTCTCATTATTCTAGAAAATGTCTTTGTGAATTGTTTGCTTGATTGAAACTTGTTTCTTTTTAATAAAGTCTTGATTTTAAAAAGCCCGAAGGCACCTCTGTTTTTTTTATTCAGCAGAATAGGACGCGGGGTGAAGACAATATTTAGAGACTTGGTAAATGTTTTCTTCTTTAACTTACATTGCCGTGTGTGTGCGTGTTTTTCTCCTTTCATCTTTCCCTCGCTCCCTCAATTTAAGAAAGGTTAGTTTAGGTAAAATGAGCATTACAAGGCTCCCACAACCTCCGCAGCCTTTCTGTCACAGGCTCGAAGAGCAGAATGAACCCCAGGCTGAGTATGAACTTTTTGTAGGGCTCAAGAGAACAGAACCCCAAGCTGAGGAGGGAGGGGCAGACTTGGAGTGTGGGAGGGCAGGGTAGGGGGTGCAACCTCGTGGTCAGGCTGCCACTCGGGGGGCATGGCAGAAGCAGACCTGGCACAGTGGCCAGAAGCAGAGAGGTCCACCCCCCCCAGGCCAGGACCCATAGGCCCAGCGAGGTCTTCCTTGCTGAGAGCTCCAAGGGGACTGACCTTTGGATCCCTTAGGAGGAGGGATCAAGGCCACCAGGACTGGAAGCCCAGAGGCCACAGCAAGCCTGATTCCCAAAAGAGAAGCAGAGGGGGTCTGGGGAGGGAATATCTGCCATCTTTCATCTGACAGGGGACAGACATAGGCACTGGCTGTGCTGATCAGAAAGGAACAGTGACGCTGATGTGCAAGAAGGCTGGCGCAGCTGAACCAGGTCACGGTCATTTCACTCTAATCTGACATTCTCAGCACAGGCTGTGTCCACACAGTGACTCTAACAGGTGCATAACCATCAGGCAGCAAACAAGGGGTCTATGGATGTGAAGCCCCCTAGACTAGAATAATGGGATTTCTCAAAGGGCCTCAGGAGCTGGGGTGGGCAGCCCGCAGAAGGTGCAACTCCAGCAACTTCCCTCCACCCAGAGCACCTGCTCCAGCCTGGCTCGCGGGTCCACCGTGAGAGGCAGCGGGGCTTGCACAGAGCCCAGGGACGCCTCCCTGGCCACTGCACCCCTTTCTACAGGCTGACTCAGAGCAGCGGAGACACACAGGAGACGCTCTGAGGGTCCTGACTTATTCTCTGGTCCCAGAGATATGATCCAGGGTCTCAGGATCCCAGGTTGGATGGTCCAGGGTGGATGGAGGGCAGCAACCTCCTCTGGAAGTGGGGTCCCCAGCAGCACCCGGTTCAGTGAAAATGGAAGTGAGAGTGAGCCTCTAAGAGGAGGTTGTATTTATACAAGAGCAGAAGTCGAGGCAGCAGTTTTCTCATCTGCAAAATGCTAATAACAAAGCCTGCCCCTGGGTTTGTGAGGACGAGCTGAAGCCCTGGGGAAGGCCTGGCTCACTGCAGACCCGCAGTGCTGCTCCCCAGGCACCAGGTTTAGTGTCTTTCCTGAAAAGGCGACTGGATAAGACATGGAAGAAGCGTGGAGCTGTGAAAGGTAGTGCAGGTTCTAGGGAGAGGGCCAAGCAGACAGGGAGAGAGGGACCTGATGGCTGGAATGGGCTTTCGAGGAGTCTTGTTTTGCTGGAGGCGGAGCTGGCCTGGGGCTACAGGGAGCAGCAGGCTCCATTCCCATCATCAATGCCCAGATCCCAGGGCGCCCCTCACCTGGGGGGCTTACAGCCCACATCTTCCCATCCCCGGATGGCTTTGCGGTCCCTGCTATTTCCTGAATACACCAGCCCACTCTGCCTCAGCCTGGAGCCTGCAATGTTCCTCCCTCAGCCATCAGCGACCCGAGTGACCTCCTTTCTTACCTCCTCAGGCCTCTGCCCAAAGGCAAACACAGAGAGCTCTTACCAAATGCTACTATTTCAAATCTCACAGCTAACAATCCGTATTCATTTTTCTCCATTGCACTTATCAATATTATGTGTGTGATTCTGAAGAATGTATATTCTCTAGATTTTATGTACAATATTCTCTATGCCATTGTCATGTTTACTAATTGTGTTTGCGAATCTTCTATACCTTTATTTTTATCATTATTTTTGTCTGTTTGTCTTGTTATTTAGAGAATGTGTTAAATGTGACTGTGAATTTATTTTTTCCCTTCTAGTTCTGTCAATTTCTGCCTTTTATATTTTGAGGCTATGTTCTATGTTCTGTGAACCCTTTGGGTATCTGAGACGGGTCTCAATTTAGGAAATTTATTTTGCCAACGTTAAGGACGCATGCCAGTGACACAGCCTCAGGAGGTCCTGATGACATGTATCCAGGGTGGTCGGGGCACAGGTTGGTTTTATACATTTTAGGGAGACATGAGACATCAATCAATACATGTAAGATGTACATTGGTTCTACCTGGAAAGGGGTAGGACAACTCCAAGCGGGAAGGGGGCTTCCAAGTCATAGGTAGGTAAGCGACAAATGGGTGCATTCTTTTGAGTTTCTGATTAGCCTTTCCAAAGGAGGCAGTCAGATACGCATCTATCTCAGTGAGCAGAGGAGTGACTTTGAGTTCTATCTGTCCTTTGTCCACAAGGAAATTCCTTGTGAGGGAGGTATGTAGCCTGTTTTTATTTTTTCATTTTTATTTTTATTTATTTATTTTTTTTGAGACAAGAGTCTCACTCTGTCGCCCAGGCTGGAGTGCAGTGGCACGGTCTTGGCTCACTGCAACCTCTGCCTCCTGGGTTCAAGAAATTATCTGCCTCAGCCTCCCAAGTAGCTGGGATTACAGGCACCTGCCACCACGCCCGGCTAATTTTTTGTATTTTTAGTAGAGAGACAGGGTTTCACCATCTTGGCCAGGCTGGTCTTGAACTCCTGACCTCGTGATGCACCCACCTTGGCCTCCCAAAGTGCTGGGATTACAGGCGTGAGCCACCGCGCCCAGCCATAGCTTGTTTTTAAAATCTTAGTAGTTATCTTTTTTAAAGGGATAGAATGGGAGGCAAGTTGGCTCTAAGCAGTTCCCAGCTTGACTTTTCCTTTCGGCTTCGTGATTTTGGGGTCCCAAGATTTATTTTCCTCTCGCAGTTCTTAGATGCACACAATTGTTGCATCTTCCTGGTGAGCTGAGGGTAGTGTTTTTTTGTTTTTTTTTTTGAGATGGAGTCTCGCCTTGTTGTCCAGGCTGGAGTGTAGTGGTGCGATCTTGGCTCACTGCAACCTCCACCTCCTGGGTTCAAACCATTCTCCTGCCTCAGCCTCCCAAGTAGCTGGGATTACAGGTGCGTCACCACACCCAGCTAATTTTTGTATTTTTAATAGAGATGGGATTTCACCATGTTGACCAGGCTGGTCTTGAACTCCTGACCTTGTGATCCACCCACCTCGGCCTCCCAAAGTGCTGGGATTACAGGCGTGAGCCACCGTGCCTGGCCATGGGTGGGTTTTTAAAAAATAGTAATTATGAAGTATTGCTTCTTGTCTTAGTCAATTTTGTGTGATACTGATGTAGCTACACCTGCTTTTATGCACAGTGCATCTTTTTGCCTTCCTCCATCCTTTTCCCTTTAATCTTTCTATACTTTTTCTCTTTTAATGTGTTTTTTATAAATAGCATAGAGTGAGAATTTAAAATTTCAGTCTGGAAAGCTTTATCTTTTGGTTAGAGCATATACATTTGACGTAATTACTGATGTACTCAGGTTTAAATTGATCATTTTGCTAAATGCTTTCTGTGTCTCACTTGCTCTATGTTCCTTGTTTCTTTTCTCCTTTGTCTTCTTTTGTATTAGGTATTTTGTATTTCATTGTAATATCCATAGATATTACATCCCTCATCCTTGACTTATTGAAGTGTAATATAGATACTTATGCTCTCTTCCTTGGCCTTAGAATAATTTAAGGGCCTTAAAATAATTTCATTTCATTTGTTCCCCACCCCATTTCTAAACTTTTTTTGCATTTATTTTATTTCTCTCTATATATGTTGTTTCATGACAGTTTTTTTATCTTTGTGTACAATTGATATAGCCTTATTTTTACATTTTTTTTGTTGCTTTTTCATTGCTTCCTGAAACTCTAACCTTTCTTTTGAATTAATTTCATCTGCCTGAAAAACATACTTTTGGATTTCCTTCAGTGCGGGCTTTTTTCCCTTTTCTTTTCTTTTTCGAGATGGAGTCTTGCTCTGTTGCCCAGGCTGGAGTGCAATGGTGCGACCTTGGCTCACTGCAATCTCTGCCTCCTGGGTTCAAGCAGTTCTCCTGCCTCAACCTACTGAGTAGCTGGTATTACAGGTGTTCGCCACCATGACCACCTAATTTTTGTATTTGCAGTAGAGACTTGGTTTCCCCATGTTGGCCAGGCTGGTCTCCAACTCCTGACCTCAGGTGATCGACCCGCTTTGGCCTCCCAAAGTGCTGGGATTACAGGCATGAGCCACCACACCCAGCCAGGCTTTTTGGTGACAAATTATTTCACGGTTTGTCTGAACTTTTTAAAAATCTCATCTTTGTTCTTTCTTCTAAGGGCATTTTCACCGGGTATAGAATTCTGAGCTGGCAATTTCTTTCAGCACTTTAAAGATATCACACCACTGACTTCTGACTTTCAATGTTTTATTGAGAAGTCAGTTATATATTTCATCATTGTACCTTTCAAAGTAATCTGTCTTTCCCTTCCACCTACTTTTTAGATTTTTCGTTGTCTTTAATTTTCTGCAGTTTTACTCTGAGTGCCTTGGTGTAGATTTCATTTATCCTGCTTGTAGTTTAGAGTGTTTCTTGAATCTATGACTTGATATCTTTCAACAGTTTAGAAATGTTCTCACCCATTTTCTTGAAATACTGCTTCTGAAACAGTTTCCTCCTCCTCTCTTTCTGGAATTCCAGTTATACGTGTGTTAGACATTTTCACTATAACTCCTACTGCCCCACCTCCCTGCCTTTTTTTTTTGCATTTTTTCTCTGGTCTCTCTGTACTTAATGCAGATTTTTTTTCTAATCAATCTTTCAGTTCATAATTCTTTTTTTTTTTTGGTTGCATCTGTTAAACTTGTCATTGAAGTCTTCATTTGGGGTATTATGTGGTTATTTACATTTGGCTTTGAAAAAAGATATATAG